GCCCGGCGCCCTGGGAGTGCCTCCCGCGCGCACGGGTGTGCGTGCTGGCTCGGCCCTGCCCTGGAAATGGGCCTCTCCAGCTCTCCCCGCGCGTATGAAACTGTTGAAGAAACCTTTTGCCAATGGGAATGCAAAACGAAACAAAATGACTTTGCTTCCAGGCTTTTGCTACCCCGAGATTCCTTCATTTTAAATCGTGGGAATCGGGAAGTTTGGAGAAACGCGCGAGACCTGCCCAGCAGAGAGGCGAGGGGTAGACCTCATCCTTGCGGATTAGATGGATGGGTTTATAATGTCAGCTTTCTTTTACGTTTGATGTCAGTCAGGTGGTTCATTCCCCCAGAGACACACAGGCAATTTGGATTTAAACGCGGAGACAGTGTTTTGATATGTATCAGAGGCTGATATTCTCATGGGGTGGTAGCTTGCTCTGTGCTCCCAGCTGGACGGTGGTTCATATTGTGGCGATATCTATAGGAAAAAATCATGCCTTTGAAATGTTTCAACCCTCTTCGGAGAAACATCCCCGGAATCTTTTAATTGTACTTCTGCGTTCACATGGACATTTGCCATACAGCAATCGGATGCACAATTTAAGCCGGCTCTATGGCAGATCACGTGGCGCAGGACATGCAGCCACTATGGAGGGAAAACAGAATGGAAAATGGCAGAAGTCTAGCTTTGTTCATTTTTATGCTGCAAAGCCTCCCCGGTTCTGTCCTATTTTGCTAACATAAATATGCATTTTTAAATGCTTTCGTTCGATATCGACGGACCTGGGCTGTAAGATTGGATCTTGAAATGTAATGAATATGTTTATTTCTATTTCATAGAAAATTTGGCACAGAATATGTTATGTGTGGGATTGATTTCAGACGTTTCAGATTATCAGATACCGTTCTCAACAGCAAGGCCTTTTCTTTTTTTTTTAAATGATGTTTTTATGGTGTCTTTTATTGTTTATAATAGCTTCAATTTGGGAACATACGCTAGTGTTCTTAATGTTACAGAATTAACTCTTTCCCCCTGTTTAAACCTACAAATATTCTGTTCCCTGGTTAATGATCTGTAATTACCTGTGCTGTTATGGGCTTGCTTAGTTTGTCAGTCTTTGTTGTTGTTGTTGTTTGTTTGTTTTAGGCATCTCGGTATTGTTTGCTCACCTGGCCTTTCAGCAGCACAGCTTTCCCTCAGTGATGTTCAGGAGAACTTTCCAAGACCCGGGGAATGTTTTCTTCTGCCACGTTCCTCTGGCAGCCACTGGCCACATGTGGCTTTTGAGCGCGTGTATGGGGCTAGAGAAATGGAGGACCTGAACTCTTAATTTGATTTAAATAATCACATGTAACTGGAAGCTGCCTGCTCGGGCACCACAGCTTTCGACTATTAGTCCCTCAGGAAGTCTCCCTGCCCCCCTGACTCCAGCACTTATTACAGTTACGCAGTCATTACGCCTTTCTTGTAGGCTGTAAGCTACGTGAGGGCAAAGGCTTATCTGTTCTCTTTATGTTTGCTATGCCCAGACTGGGATTTAGTAGTAAGAAACGCCCGATAAATATTTGTCGAAGGACTAAATCAGCTTCTGGAGGGCAGGTATCTTTTGTGTTCTCTCTAGGCCTAGAGCAAACTCAGTATCAAATACTGCAAATCTCTGCTTAGTGATTGAACAGATTTCGTGCAAATGGGTTGCTGAAGACGTATTTTAAATGCTTATTTTGGTTGGGTTACTGTTTTTGGAATCTCTTGAAGACTCACGAGAAAATGCTGTATGAAGTTGAATGATTCCAGCTTGTGTGGACACAGCTTGGGTCTCCTGTTAGTGGAGTAGCTCAGGGATGCTGCCCTTTAACCATATTCCACATAAATCCGAGGGCATCCCTAGGCCTCAGGGAGGTGCCTTCGTGAGGCCCTGACGAGCCTTCAACTACTCTGAAGAAGTTAGTGGGCCTCTCCACTCACCACCATTCTGAGTTAGGGCATGGACCAGGAATCCTTGAGAAATCATAAGATATCATAGCCATGTTACAAGATGCTTTTGCTCAGAGCTGATTTGGGGTGATGGGATAGGATGGGATTCATATATAAATCAAAATTTGGGGAATTTGAGTCTACTTATTGTATCTGTTATGTACACAGTTAAATAGGGCCAACTTAAAAAAAATATCTTAAGGTTTACTTTGTATAACCCATTATCACCAGTTAACCATAGTAGGATTTGAAATGAAAGTATGTACTTGATTCAGGCTAGTATATCTCCAAGTTTGACCAATATTCCCAGGTGTCATGATCTTAAGGTTTACTTTGTATAACCCATTATCACCAGTTAACCATAGTAGGATTTGACATGAAAGTATGTACTTGATTCAGGCTAGTATATCTCTCCAAGTTTGACCAATATTCCCAGGTGTCATGGCATCTAGAAATTGCTTTTGCAAAAGGATTCTAAGACTATAGAGGTGTATAGTTTTCTTTGGTGGGGCAGAATGTTGGGGTTTCATAAAGGAAAGGAAATAGAACTGGGGGAAAAATGCAATGAAGACAAAATACAAAGAATGTTCCCTCCAGTGGTTAGGTAATATAGCTTCTCTGAGCTTGAAGTAGCTGCCATGTACAATGATGAAGTTGATTACATTGTGTGGAGTGACTCATCTTTCCACCTTGAATCTACGACTTGAATATTTACTATTAGGTATGTGTAGGCCACTGATCTAACTCCTGTGGCAAGTGATAGTATGTAAGATACAGTTCTTTTAAGAATCTCAACAGTGCAAGGAAATGAAAGGTGCTTTGGGGATCACTTCTAGAAAACATTTTTGAATGGAAAACCCACTCTGAAAAGGACATTTGAAAGGTGGCTCCTCTTAACCAACTCAGAATGATAACCACTTATTCACTCTGCTGAAGAATTATGAGTATCAAAAAACATGACTGAGTCTCAAAATGTGATTGCAGTCAGGTTAATCTTCCTAGAACACAGCTTGAACCCTGGGACAATCTCCTTTGAAATAATCAGTGGTTTCCCAGTGCTCATGGAATTAAAAGGTTTGGTCTTTGATCAGGTATTTAAAGTACTTCTGAGTATAGCCCTAAAAAACCATTACAGCCTTACCTCTCACTGTTTTCCGGGATGTAGCGTGCATTCCAGCCTACTGTTCCTCTAAGTGCTCTCCTTTTACATTTCTGCCCAAATCTCTGCCTACACATCTTTCAAGACCTATACCCTAGGTCAGCGGTTCTCAACCTGTGGGTTGCGACCCCTTTGGGGGTTGAACGACCCTTTCACAGGGGTCGCCTAAGACCATCGGAAAACACATATATAATTACATATTGTTTTTGTGATTAATCACTATGCTTTAATTATGTTCAATTTGTAACAATGAAATTGGGGGTCACCACAACATGAGGAACTATATTAAAGGGTTGCAGCATTAGGAAGGTTGAGAACCACTGCCCTAGGTGATGCTTCCTTTACCACACCATTTCTGATTCTCAGGAGCTGCCATAGGGCATGTTCCTTGTACTTATGTTATGGAACAAATCCCCTCTGTTTCATCATCTTTTTCAATTAGTGCTATTTTATTCACCCTAGTAGACTGTAAGCATGGGACCATCTGTTACTCATTTTTTTATTTTCTGAAACATCTAGATCAGTGTAGTGCCTTGTAGGCAGTGGTTACACGTTTACTAGTAACGTGTTTAACAAGCTGTGCTAAAGGTAGCTTCATTCTCTGCATGTAATATTTTGTCCAAACTTACTGCCAAACACTTAGAGGCCAACAGGTAGAAACGCTGAGTTACTTCTACACTGAGAAGCTACAGTGTTGAAGGACGGTCTCCTTTGTGGCATGGGTTACTTTTTAGAATTGATAGCATTTAAGGGAGATCACCATGCCATGTGACACCAATTCCTTGTTATATTCCTACTAGACGCTCCTTTATTAGAGAGGGAACTCTCTTGTAACAGTGTTGTTGTTGGCATATGACTAGTAAGGACTTTGGAATAAAATGCCATCTTTTCCTGTCTTAGAGCAGCTCAACAATTTAAACTTATATATTAATCAGAGGGAGGTGGAAATCCCCTAAAAATGAAATTCCCATCATTTCTTTCTTTATTCCCTCCTATCTTTTCTATCCCTTGCTTCAGTCCACCATTTTCTTTGGCATTGTTTAGTGTCAGCCCAGGGTATCTGATCATGCACCAAAAACAGGGAGAACATCTCTGCCATGCAGGGGTCCCTCTTATCAGCCCTGTGTCCCCCAAGAAGCAGGAGATCACCCAGGACCAAATAAAAGCATGCTCCCTTTGATTTACAGTCTTCCTCCAATAGAATTTCCCAGGGCACTCTGGCCCCCAAATGAGGCCCTAAGTCAGGGGTGGGCAAACTTTTTGACTTGAGGGCCACAATGGGTTCTTAAACTGGACCGGAGGGCTGGAACAAAAGCATGGATGGAGTGTTTGTGTGAACTAATATAAATTCAAAGTAAACATCATTACATAAAAGGGTACGGTCTTTTTTTTTTTAGTTTTATTCATTTCAAACGGGCCGGATCCGGCCCGAGGGCCGTAGTTGGCCCACGGCTGGGTTATTTAATGTGTGATAATCTCTACATCCATATAAACATACACCTTATGAGAAAAAAGAAATCATCTTACTCTTTACCAGTTCCTGCTAGTATTTAGAAAACCTGTGAATCAAGTTGGGAAGGAACCAGTTAACTTGAAGAGGTGATGTTTCCTTAGGTAAGGGTGGTGATGGTAAAGATAATTAAGTTAGATGGCAGATTGATTAATCAATTGTAAAAAAGCACATTGAGTAATAAATAGCAAGGCATAATCTGCTAGAGGACACGATCAATTAGCTATTTTCACTTATTCTATTCTTTCTACTGAAATAAACTAAAAATCATTTTCATTTGGTTTTGTAATATGGTTTTCTGTTTATATTTAAAAAGCATATAGACAGTCATAGTATTTCATATTTGAAAGATTTGATACAAAAGAAATTGGAAGGTTTTTGGCTTCATAGTTCAGTTTTGCTGACATTTTCTCTTCTTTCTCCATTTCTGATGGGTTGGCTTGGTGCAACACCAGTCCAATTTATAGCAAATTTATTCAAACCACTCATGTTGTCTGAGAAAAAGGTAATATCAGGGATATGGTTTAAAAGGCATGGTCTTCTCGAAAACCCATTAGAGCCCTCAAATGCCCAGCCTTTGATCTGCCAGCCAATCGTGAGGAAGACAGAGCGGGAGCCTCCTTAGCGCCCTGAGGCCTCTGTCCTGACGCTGAACCAATGGGCCATTTGTGTCGAACAGTGCGGAGTTGTATCCAATTACTTCACCGCCAGCCTCGGAGAAACATGGAGTGCTTCATCCGCAAGAAACAATAATTCTACAAAACCCTCCGGAGAGGGGTTTTGGTTGGCAGGAAACAGAAAACCAGTTGGAAGCAGTTTGATGGAGCCAGACAGCCATGGGTAGGCGGATGGGCAGTCCTTTTGCCCTACGTGACCCGGTGCGCTGTGTGCCTGCCTTTCCACCATCTCAGGTACCGAATCCCCACGAGCTGGAATCTGGATGGATCTAGGGGTCCAGGGTGACCCCCAGAGGGGCTCCCTCCTGAATCGTGCTGGGGAGATGGGGAGAAAGGAACCCTTCCCAGGGGCCACCTGAGTCTCTCCTCAGCTCTTTTTTTTTTTTAAAGTATATATTTTTATTGATTTCAGAGAGGAAGGGAGAGAGAAACATCAATGATGAGAGAATCATGGATCAACTGCATGATCTGTGGGATCTAGTCCACAACCCAGGCATGTGTCCTGACTGGGTGGTTCCCCCAGCTGCCGCCTGGTTGCCATGGTGTCGGAGGAGAGGAGAAGGAGGAGGTGATTTCTGAGAAGCAGTCCAAAAATACACACCAGCTGGCCCCTCCTTCCTCACTCCTTACAGCTTCAAAGCCTCCTTTTGTGCAGCTGGGCCAGGGCTCTTCCTGGCCAGGCAGCTGGGAGCAAAGAAGGTCAAGGAGGCAGAGGGTCCAGGTGGTGGGTTCTGGGACCCCCACCTCACCCAGCAGATTTCCTGGACCTGGGCTCCATTGCCCTCCCATAGTTCCCAGACCAGGCGGGCTGTTTCCTGCCTCCCTGCCTTCGCACCTGCAGTTCCCTCCACGTGGCATGCCCTTCCTCATCCTTCAAATCCCAGCTCGGCTTTACTGCACTGGAGAACCTTCCCTCAGTCACTTGGGGCTCCCTCTGCATCCTGCACCCACCCCAGTCACAGCCGTTTTCTTGATGAAGCTCTCAGGGGGCTGTGAGGTCTTGGGGATGCTAGCTTTGCCTTTGTACCCCAGCCCCTGGCACAGACAGGTGCTCAGTAAATCCGGAAGGAAGGGAAGGAGGGAGGGATGGAAGGGAGCAAAGAAACACCTCTCATAGGACTGGAGAGGATCCGCCCGTGAGCACAAAGCCCTCTCCCTTCCTGCCGCCTCCACTTGAGCCTGGGCTCCAGCACCTTCTGCCTCATCTGAGTTGGACCTGCTCAGGGGCCGTCTCCATACCCGCAGGCCTGTTTCTTTTGCCCATTTACATGCACTTGACTTCATAAGGAGCTAGTGTGTTTGGGAGAAAGGCCTCCATTCTCAGAAATCCCGGACTGTGCACACTTGCAAGGACCTGAGGGCTGATCTTCAGCAGGGGTTTTCACACTGAATACTTTCTGCAAACAAAGCCTTACCTGAGGCCAGTATATAAAACAGATGGAAAGCTGCTTGGGGTGAAGTGGTGCGTATTGAAGGAGATGGGGCAGCCAAGAGAGAGGGAGAGAGAGCGCTGGGGAGAGTCCAGTGACCGATATTTACTAACTGGTAGAGAAGGGCTTCAATATTTTCAGAACTGCGTGTTCATGCCCGTGTGGCTGGGCCAACTAACTCATCTTTCACAGCGAGAAGTCAATCTGTACACACAACAATGAAAATACATCCTTGGGGAAAATCATAATGACTTCAGCCTTTAATGCTCTTACAGTTTCTTTCTTTTTTTTTTTTTAATTTTGAAGGGATGTTTTAGGGGAAGTAGCTCTTGTCTAGAGGAAATATTTATATGAATTCAGCAATTCCATCAACTCCTCTTTCTTTTTCTTTTGTGAAATTCAAGTAAAATTAAATTTAAAATTGTGTCTGAAAAAATAAAAAAGGCATGGCCTTCCATCTCCTGCAAGGATGGAATGAACAGGTCCTATCATTGTTAAGAAGTGGGCTCTTAGATTTGTACGAGAGATGTGATTAACATTCACTAAAGTTTTCTGGGATGTCAGGAAATAATGAGAATATCCTAAACTAGATTGTGTTCATGTGATGAGCACGTGGCAAGAGCTGTTGGGTGACAGATGGTATAAGCTGTGTCAGATTCCACGAGAAGTTAAAGGTCCCTTGACCAGGGATAATATCTGTGAGTAAAGAAAACATCATCCATTTAGATTAGCTCAACATTTAAAAATATTTTCTCCTATACTTGGAAAATAATATGGCTCCTGAGCTTTGTCTAGAAAGATAACGTGTGCTGCTGACTCTATAAGCACTATTTTTGCCGAAAGGAAGTTCCCCCCCTTCCTTTCTAAAAGCGATTCTTGAAGTTTGAAGTTGAAAGTGTCAGTAAGTTAGATATTAAAAGAATACAGGCTGTTTATCATTGAAGGCAGTCACTCTAAGTGGCATTCAGAAGTAACGTGCTTTCTCTCTCCTCTCATTACAGGTGGCTTTCTAGAAGATGACCATAGAGGACCTCCCAGAGTTCCCATTAGAAGGAGAGTCTTTGATCGGAAGATACCCATTTTTGTTCTCAGGTTCGGATACACCCGTGACCTTCTCCATTTCTGCAGCACCAATGCCTTCCGACTGTGGTATGTGAAGTAGCTGACTTTATTGGCTATGAGCTGGTAACTTGACTTCTGTCTTATGTCTGTTTTATGCTCATAATATTTCCTAAAACAATTTACTATGGTTTTCATAAAATTGCTAAAGTTTTCCTTTTTCAAAAATACAATTGCTTTTTCTGCCACTTAAACGAAACATTTCATTTCTTCTATCAGCGTTTTTACTAGGTAAAAGTTCATTTTATGCACCATGATGGGTTTAGAAGAACTTTTTTTCAGGAGGCAGTGGTGCTTATACACCTAGCATTCTTCTGCTATTCATGTACTTATTTTGGTTAAATATACTGATTTGTTTACAAAGCCATATACTGAAAAAAATGACACAAAAGCACTGTCAACTAGCCATCTCTAGGGGCCCTGCGGTCTTTGAAATACTAGAATTCTAATTAACACGGTAAGCGCTCACTCCTGAAAGGTTCCAAACTCAGGTGACAGTGTAACCACAAGTTTTAGTACACAAGCAAGCCTAATTTGGACCCTGTCTCAATCATCATTGATAATTGTAATTATCAATATATCTATCTATCTATATAAAAGACTAATATGCAAAGTGTCCCCTTGGGAGTTCAACCCACCAGGAGTTTGATCACTTGCTATGATGTGTGCTGACCACCAGAGGGTGGCGCAGAACAAAGGAAGGCCCCAGTCAGCAGCCGGCAGCTGCTAGGGACCCTACCTGTGCACAAATTTTGTGCACTGGGCCTCTAGTATATATATAAAAGCCTAAGCGACCGTTCTGACTGGATGATTGGCTGGTAGCTATGGCACACACTGACCACCAGGGGGCAGACGCTCAATGCAGGAGCTGCCCCCTGGTGGTCAGTGCACTCCCACAGCCAACCTCCTGCAGCTAGCCAACCTCCCGTGGCCCCTCCCTCTGGCTGGCCCGGATCAGCCCCGATCAGGGACTGAGTGAGACAGCCCTGATAGGCCCTGATCACTGGCCAGGCTGAGAGATCCCACCCGTGCACGAATTTGTGCACTGGGCCTCTAGTACACAAATAAAATATAGCAAAGCTTATAAAAAGCAGGGAGGGTGAGACCTTTCCCTGGAATGATATTGGTTCCTATTTAAATTGGTTCATTTAAATCTCCTTGGTAAAATATAAATTTAGAAGTATCCTAGTTTTTATCTATTTAGATAAATTTTCCCCAAGACCCTATTTTATCAGCTAGTTGGTAAAAGAACACCAGGAGATAAATTTGATAGATTTGTTACATTTCTGACTTGGAGTTTTTCAAGTAAAATATTGGGTCACCATTTCAAATCATCTTTGGAGGTAGAGATAATACAATTTTTAAATATCAGTAGATATAAAAAAATATTTGATTGGGAATTTGTCCTTTTAGTCCTACCCATTCTAATAACTATTCAGTTCCAAGTACCAAGTATGCTATTTTTATGTGTTCAGATTCTACAGTGATTACCTTGAAATCATGAAAAATATTACACAAAATCTGTGCCTAGATCCTGGGAATTATTTGCAGCTTTTACACAAATTGACTGAGTTTATTGTCAGATATAGCAAAATCAGTTATATGGGAAAAGCATTGAACTAAAGCACTTTGTTCCTTGCTTATGACTCTTATCTAATTCTATCTTGAGTCATAATTATCTTATTTCCTTTCCTAGACTATATAAGTCTTTGGGATGGGGCAGGAATCATGTTTTGTTTTTATTGATCTCCTTAGGGCTAATATAGTCATTTATTGATTAGTTGCTCAGTTTGTGTTGAATAAATACATTGCCTATATTATTAGAATTATAGATTCTTAGAATCTGAATGGACCTATAGTTGAACTTTCCCTACCCACTTTCCAGCATAGAAAGTCTATTTTCAGAAGCTCTGACAGACATCCATTTAGCCACTTAGCTATCTTCAACAGTGGGAAACTGACTCGGTGACTTACCAGCTCTGTGATCTTGGACATATTACTTATTTTCTCTATCCCCTTGTTTCTTTTTTGATTAAATGAGAATAATAACACCTATCTCATATGTTGTTATGAGGATGAAATAAGGTAATTTACATAAAGTATACAGGGTGGGGCAAATGCAGGTTTATAGTTGTTTGTATGAAAAATCTCTATATATAAAAGCCTAAGCAACTGTTCAACTGTTGGACTGGTAGCTATGATGCTCACTGACCACCAGGGGGCAGATGCTCAGCGCACAAGCATGGAAACACGGGACAGACTGATGAATCTCAGAGGGAAGCGGGGAGAGGGGAGGGCGGGAAGAGATGAACCAAAGATCTTATATGCATACTAGAGGCCCAGTGCACAGGTTCATGCATCAGTAGGATCCCTCGGCCTGGCCTGCGGAGATCAGGCTCCTTGACATCCCCCAGGGGGTCCTGGATTGTGAGAGGGCGCAGGCCAGGCCAAGGGACCCTACCGGTGCGCAAATCCATGTACCGGGCCTCTAGTAATACAATAATTAATAAGTAATAATACAAGAATAAACTCTGATTCATGTACTCATAACTGTAAACTCATGTTTGCTCCACCCTGCATGTAACAGTCCTTGGCACCTATGAAGCACTTAGTGAGTGTAACTTATTATCATTATTATTTAAATGATTCTGCTGTTTGCCATTACCTCAGTATATAATTACTGAGTCATTGACACATGCTTCAGTATTTATTGGGCTAACCATTACTCTTCTTGGTTCAAGTATTCTTGCTTATTTCTCTGACATTTATTCTCTAGGTCTTTGCTAGTCACAGGGTGGTTCTTAGTCTAGTAGCATTGGCATCTCTGGGAACTTGTTAGGAATGCGGTCGCAGGCCCCACCTGAGACTTACTGGATTAGAATCTACATTGTAACAAGATCCCTAGGTAACTCCTATCTACATTAATGTTTGAGAAGCTCTCACACAGATGAACAGTAGAATAATTTTGTCTGTCTCTTCCTACAAATAAATCCTGATGAGATTTTGATTAGAATTGAAATTATTTTAAATAATGTTCTTGGGAAAATTGATAGCTTTCAATGTTCTGTCTTCCGACGCAGGAATATAATGTGTCACTCTCCACTTAAGTCTCCCCTACCCCTCTTCAGTTTTCTTTAAATAAGCCTCGTAAATTTATTGGCATGTTTGTTATTTTTATTGTTATTGTGTATTGGTTTTTCCATGGCATTTCATTTTTTAAAAATAGGAAATCATTTACAAATGCAAAGAACAGTGATAGCAAAAATGTATATCACACATGTCCACCATCAGAATGAACAAATATTAGCATTTTGTCGTATTTCCTTTAGCTCTTGTTTTTTTATTAAAAGAAATAAAACTTTAAAGATAAATCCCCTCCATTTACCTTTCTGATCCAATTCCCCTTGCTCCCCAGAGGTAACAACTATCTTATATTTAGTGTGAGTATTCCAAATCTTATTATTATACTTTTACTACAAATATGTGCCTATAAACAATATGCATTTTTGTTGTGTATATTTATAATTTTATGTAAATGAATGATATTGGATATTATTCTGCAACTTAATTCATTGATCAATGTTTTTTGAGACCTATCTTTATAAATTCATGGCTTAGATGTCTAATTCATTTGTTTAGTTGTAAACTTACTCTTCATGACACATTTATGTTTTTAGAGGTGAAAATATTGATCAGACTTGACAAATTTTAACTGCTTTAGAAATAATTTTTGGAAAGTTTGGGATTTGAGATCAGGGTTTGCACACTTATGTTTTTGTTTCATCTATAATAAATTATGGGATGGTAAATCGAAATCTCATTCTCACAACAACTCAGGAATGCCTCATACTTTTTGGCAATTTTGATTTTGTTTTTGAGAATTGCTTAAGGTAAAAATCTACGTTTTCTAACATCTGAAAATATTGGTATCATTTAAGCTCTGGTCTTATTGTTTAGTATTTTCAATATATTTATTTGCAACTTCTAATAAATTTAATTTACACCTTTTATTTCAGAGTTCTCTTTCTTTGATCCGAATGATACATCATGCCAGGAAATTCTCTTTGATCCCAAAACTTCTGTATCAGAATTATTTGCCATTTTAAGACAGTGGGTTCCTCAGGTCCAGCAGAACATTGACATTATTGGGAACGAGGTAAGACATTATCACATTTTAAGCTTTACGTTGTTAGGATTGTTAATCACATAGACTTTTCCCCCATCTAAATGGAAAGATGGTGATAAAGGGGAGACCTTTTAAAGAGTCTGATGTTTGTTCTTTGTATTTCCAGGTTTTTACTATAGTTAAATAGTTAGTACTATAAATTCTTTCCATTATTCCCTCATGCTCCTCACTCTCTTACATGTGGGATTCTGACATTGGAGACTCTTCACAGGAGCAGGCATTTTGGGAACTTTCTTTCTTGTACAAATTAATTTTGTAAACTTAAAGAAATTCTTTCATGAGGGTATTTGCCTTGATTGTTGTAGTTAATACTAGAGGGATTTGACCACCAGGCCGACTGGCTGTGTGAATCAGCTGTGTCTGCCGCGGAAAACTTCTGTCCTCTGGGGAGGTGCTAATCTAGCCTTTGCCTGAGGCGATCCGGCAAATGGCTCTGCGCAGGGCTTGGGCGGGGCGGGCTCAACAGGGCGGGCGGAGGGAGCCGTTATGGTGCCCTCAGTCCTGTTCCCAGAGGCTCTGCTTCTCAGAACCCCCGGAACCGCTGCAAACCTCGGAGGGAAAGCTGCCTTCCAACTGATGCCAGACACTCCCGCTTCTCCCGTTTGGGTCCGAGTCCCCAGCGATTCGCCCGTATCTGGAGCTCAGAGTCTGAGACTCCCCCCTGACCGAAAACGACAACCGCGCTCTCAGCCACCAGCCCGCTTTGCGCGCGCACCTCCGCACCTGAGTTTTTTCCACACTGCGCCTCCTCTGAGCCTCGGTGTGCTGTTATTTTTCCTTCTAGTTGAAGAGTCTCTCCTCAGCCAGCCTTCCTGTGGTTCTGGGTGGTGTCCGTTCCGTCTTTTAGTTGTATTTTTGAAGTGGTTGTTTGCGGCAGCAGTCTGCGGTGTTTACCTATGCCGCCATCTTGGTCATTACCATCATGTTTTATCTATACTTTTGGGTAGTTTGTTAAAGATCTAGGCTTAAATATAATTTAAAAATATTTTTTGAAGGCGGGATGAAAGAATAACTGGTTTCCTTGACCAGCATATTACCATATTGTAGGAAGAGAGAGCTCATACTTCTTTCAAATACCATTATACCCATGAGAAATAAAATGTTGCTCACTCTTTGAGAGGTTAAGGGACATATTTGGAGTGGAGATTACCTTGTAATACTCTTTATACATTTCCTTCAGTCGGTTGGCAAGTTCAGTTTTCATTCTTGTTGGGTGCAGACTTATGATCTCTCCTCAGAAGAAGCCAGTCTGTCTCTGCATGTGTGAGAACTAGTCCAGAAAAGGCAGGCTCCCTTGTTGCCCAGCATTGGTTCGAAGTCAGTCGACTTCAGTAGTCGTTGTCATCACCTCTTTCTGGGTTTCCTCAGATTCTTAAGAGAGGCTGCAATGTGAACGACAGAGATGGACTGACAGATATGACTCTCCTACATTATACTTGCAAGTCCGGAGCTCATGGTATTGGTAAGTATGTGGTAAATCTGTTAATTGCTTAGAACATCTGTATTGGTGCCTGTACAACCTGGGAGAGCACCTGGCTCTGATGATAATATTCCCTGAACAGGTGAGGATTCAGTTAGTTCCTTCCAGAAACTTGTTGCCTTTTCTTCCTTTTCTCAAGGTGGTCTTAATAGCCTCCTGGCACCTCCCAGCCTTTCCGGATCCAAGCTCAGTTTTCTAGGCAACCCATCCCCTAAGATCCCAGTCTTCAGGCCTGTCTGGGGTCTGTTCCTACATACATAACATGGGCTCATATTTTCCAAAATTGGTGTTTTCCCATTGTATAAACTTGCCTCTGTTATTTAACTGTCGTGACCTTCTCCCTGTGTTTCCATAGTCTGATATAGTGCTTCCCAAGCTATTGATGGTAAGGATTCTTTTTTTTTTTTTTTTTGCTATAATGGACTGATACTTTTATAAAATGAAATAATAGAAAAATGAAATAAAGATATAAAATACAAACCTAAATATTTTTCAAAAGGCATAAAATTATATTTCAATTAATATACTCCTAAGAAATGATTACATAGGAAAAAAGAAGAGGGTTATAAAAAGTACAAACAAATTATATTTTGGGACTGGCAGTAGTCCATGCAGCCCACTCTGAGTAGCACTGGTCCAGTGTGTTGTTTTTACTGGCTGTATAGTATTCCATTCTATGGATGTCTCATAATTTATTTAACCAATTTCTTATTATTATACTTTTAGGTTGTTTCAGAATTTTATTCATAATAAAAAATGCTGTGATGAACATCTTCACAGCTAAATGTTTATCCATATCTCTGAGTATTTGCTTATTTTCTTAGACTAAATTCCTTGTAAGTGAAAGCTTTGAGATATAAGTGTATATGCAGTATATACTATTTGCTTTGGCATTTTGAATGAGGTAGGGGTTAGCCATCCATTGGAACTTAAATTTGTACTGAAGAAAAATAATTTAGAAAACCTTCCTTAGGTGATGTTGATACAGCTGTAAAATTTGCAACTCAACTTATTGATCTGGGAGCAGACGTTAGTTTGCGGAGTCGCTGGACAAATATGAATGCTTTGCATTATGCTGCTTATTTTGATGTCCCTGAGCTTGTAAGAGTGATTTTGAAGACATCCAAACCAAAAGGCAAGTACTATAAGATCGCCATTAAATGTTACTAATTGAACATTTTATTAGTGGCCTGAAAATGATAATTCAAAGAGTTTTTTCCTTCTAATCTATCTTGTTCCATATGACCTCCCATCTCACTTTTTTCAAGAATAGTTTTAAACTTTCTGTAGTGAAGATTAGTTACTATTCTTTCACAAAAAAGCTTAGTACAAAGAGATACAAAATAAGAAGTGTTCTCCAGGTTTTTATCTCTATTCGAATTTTCCAGTATAACAGGGATTTTATAAAGTGTAATTGAATCTTTGTGCTATATAATTCTTTTGTCCTATTTGAGTAGCCAGAAATAGAGCAATAAAACCTTCAGAGCTAAGCATTGAAATCATAAAGAGTATTTATTTTAGGTGGTATTCAGTTCTGAAATTCTGTGATTCTATGAAAGGATAACTTTTTATCTGGCCTTTTTTTTTGTCTTCCTGTCTTGAGGCTGATATCCTAAACTTGAACATGACAATGTGTCTAAATTACAGTCCTCGTGTTTTGACTTTTCCTCTAGTTGTCTCAGGGGTCAGTTTTTTTTTTTTTGAGGGAATTAGGAGAACAGTTAAAGGCAGTGTTTCCCCACTTCTAGAGGACTTGACTTAGAGATTCAGTAAATAAATTTCCCAGACTGTTTGTTTCTAACCTCTGCTTTGTATAAGTGTCCACTTTTCCTTAAGCTTCTACCTATTTGCTTTTTGAATAATGGTAGGAGGAAGGCCTCTCTTGATAGTACAGTGTCTTTAATAACGCAGGAGAGTTTGTCCTGAGCACATCCTGCTGGTTTTAGTTGCAGGTGAGGCATGTGGGGTGGGGTGGTTAGATGAAGGTAGGATTAGAGGTATAGTAAACCCTTGTTGTAGAAAACATTCAAAATAGGATTCCCAAATCTTGAGGATTTCTTGTTTCTAAGTATAGGATCATGATAATTTATTGAAAGTTATTAAAATGTCCTTAGAATTGCAAGATTTTATTTCTTATTCTGAAGTCCAAATTATTCATTTGTTGAATAAAGTATTATGAAAGAGTACAATATGTAGACATTTATATTTTTAATTAGTTTTTAACTTCTTCCTGGTGTGAAAATTTTGCTCTTTGTTTTTGTGGAGGGTCAGATAGTAAATATTTTAGGCTTTTTATGGTCTCTGTTGCAACTACCAGATTCTGTAGTTGTGGCATGAAAGTAGCCATAGAGAATATGTAAATGAATGTGTGTGGCTATGTTCAAATAAAACGTTATTTACGAAAACAGATGGTGACTTTGATTTGGCTCATGGGCCATTGTTTTCTGGGCCTGACCTAAACCCTACTACCTCATTGTAGTCTTCTGGTAAATAGATGAGAGGTTTAATGAGAGATTGTGTGAAAATAGTTGTCTCCACAAACATGAATTATTGCCATTAATTGCTTTTACATATAGTTTAGTTTGTGATAGTTAGAAAGCTGATGAAAACATTAATCCATTTTATAATGAAATTTTATTATGCTGAGAACATAATTGGTTAACCAGATTGTAATATGAAAATTTTGTTCCATTGAAAATTTTGTCCCATTGTGAAATGTTGCTTCTGGTGGGTTAAGTCTCAAAATTGGCTAATAGAGCTCCTCCCTCCAGCATTCCCCCAAGCCCCCAGATTGTCCCCTTTTACATTATACTAGCGAAATTTAAAGATTTAGTTAATATGCTTGTGATGTTTGGTTGCAGATGTGGATGCTACTTGCAGTGACTTTAATTTCGGAACAGCTCTGCACATTGCCGCTTATAACCTGTGTGCAGGCACCGTGAAATGCTTATTGGAGCTTGGAGCAAATCCCGCATTTAGGGTAAGAAGTTACATTGAAAGAATTTAACCATCTAACATTATCTCCCAGTAGGGAGTTGAATCTAGATGTTGTTTTTGAACTCTGTGTACGCAAATGATTTATTTTTGTGTGTCCCTGTAAAGAGTAATGGTGTTAAACTTCATCTCAAATAAACGTGAGGCAAGCGGTGAAGTTCAGCCCCTGGTACTGAGGCGTCTACAAACCTGCTTCCATTCAGTAACATGAAATGCCCCTTCAAGTGTCGTCATCTTCGAGTTTAAGGATCTTTCATTTGGGCTTTTGATGTATTTATAAATGTTAACTGTCAAATACAAATGCATATATGCAAGTTATATTTCTGTATTAAATTATATTTTAAACTCTTTCGGAAAGAAATTTTATTCCAGACAATTTTGAAAGATGCACATTTCAAAATGGAGTGAACTTTAAAAAATCAAATTAAAGGAAAAAATGTATTTTTTCATGGTATTGTTACTGAGTTACAAAGTTACCACCCAGCGTTGAATTTCCTAAACTTTAAATCCTTTGGTATTCTATTGTCTTCACGGCAGTGGCTCTTATATTAGTGCCAGTGACAGGGATTCTTCCCGCTAGGTCTCTGCCTGCCCTTGAGCGGCAAGGGTGGGAAATGTGTGAAAGAGCCTCTTCTCTTCTTTCCTTCTCTTCCCTGGTTTCCTCCCCGCTTCACTCCTCCCTGCTTCTTTGCCACTTTTCTTTCTGTTTAACCTCATCAGTTGGTGAA